GGGGGGGGTATTTGTCGCGACAGACGACGGCGACGGCGAACGACGATTGATCATCTGCCAACAATACAATCGGGGGGCTGCAGTTGCAGATCGTCGGACAGCTTACCGTTACTACTTTTGCCTCCAAAATGACACGCACCGCGCTGTAACTGCAACAACAATTGAATTCACCGCGAGAATCCCCGTGCGGCAGCGTTGCTGTTTGTATGCTTGTCCCCCGCGTACCAGTGTGTCGGCGGGGGGCCCCGGGCCCCGGGAGCGGCCGCCTGACCGACTGACGTCATACGGAGACGGGGAGCTGGGAGTTGAGCGTGGAGCAGGTGCCCGCCTCTTCGCGCCGCCTCAGTCCAGTCCGGAGGCCGAACGGCGGCGGCGCGTGCTCGCTCTTCGTCCTGCTCGGTACCCGCATAGCTGACTGAGCTCTTGAGCTTCACCTCCAAAATGGGCGTTTGACTTAATCCGAAATGGACATGGGAGAAGATTTAAAGAAGTGCGACAAAACGGAGCCGGCACCAGCAGACATGTCACCAAAAATCCCGCCGGAAATCCCCGTTCTTTTTTATGAATTACAAGTTCTGCGCGGTGAAAGATTGTTTTGTATTTTACTAAATTTTTGTAATGACAGCAGACAATGCGCCTAATGACTCCTCGCAAAAAATAAAATAAAAAATTGAAAAATGTGTCCTCGTGCCTCCGGCTCCGCTTTTATCGTTTCTTTTCATCTTCTTCCCGTTCGTTTTCGATTCACTGAAATACCCCTCTCCTCCTAAGCATCAACAGCACGTGAGAGGTACTTGACCCTCGCCCTCCTCTAGTTCCGTCCCGCCCCGCGCGCCCCGCCACGGGGATTTGGCTTTACTCGCGTTGGATGTTGGCAGTGTAGATTAGCGGGGACCTTTTAGTATGTAGGGTGGCTTGGTTCACCCCCCCCCCTCCCTTCCTCCCGGAGCTTTCTAACGTCATTGCGGTGAGATGCTCCGCGTTAAGGCTGCTTACTTCCCAAGTCCTCTGAGTTGTTTCCAAACAAACTTGAGCAGGCATATCCGCCTTCGTCCCTAGCGAGCGTTCTCTCCTTCTCATGCCTCACTCTGGCGCGCCGATTCCGTCTGAAATCGTTCGCCAAACTTCTTCTCTCCATACACTCCGCGCATTAGACATTATTCCCCCCCCCCCCTCACCTGTCTCATCGTTTGTTTGTTTTTCCAGCTTGCGGTCTCCTTCTCCAGCCCGTGTCGATACCCCCAGCTGGCGCGGCGTCTCTGCCGGACGCGGAGTGCGTGTGGTGTGGTCTCTCCCGGCGCGGGGTATGCATTATGTAAGTATGGGAGTGGACGGTGCAACAAGATTGTCCGACCTATTTTTCTCCGACCTAGTGATTTTTCCGAAAATCCCCACAGGTGCTGTCCGACCTAGGTTTTGTCCGACCTAATTTTCTCTGACCTATTTTTCTCCGACCTCGTCGATATGCTAAAATTTGGGAAGAATGTTCTTCAAAGACGCACAATTCTTCAGAGGCCATGAAGGGGTATTTTAAGTGCAGTGAGGGAAAGATCGCGACTTTGACGAAGTGCAGCCCCACGTCACAGAACAGTCAAAAGTCCGCTCGGCGCCGTAAATGCCCAAACCCAACTCCCCCCACCCGGTAAAAAAAAAATAATAATAACAAATATGGGGGTGGTTAGTACACACCTCACCAGAAAGGTAAATAAGATCTACTGGAGAGTCCCCCCTTTTTTTTTTGAATGATTTTTTAAAATTGATTTAGTGAAACTAGTTTTAAAACGGGCATGTTTATCTTGCTTTGATACAGAGAAATAAAAAAGAAATACATAAAAAGGAAAGCTCTACCCCACCCTCCTGCCCGGGGGGCCCCGCGCGGTAAACTTCGGAGTTCGGATAGGATCCGGTGCTTGTTCGCTTAAACGGACTATGGGGGGTAGATTGTAGGTTGTTGGACTTACAGGTGTCGGTGTCGCAAGGTGGGCAAGACCAGGGAACCATCCATTCTACGCAGTCGCTGACGGCTAAAAAAGGGCGAAGTGTGAAGGAAATTTTTTGTTGACACATAACATGTACTAATTTGTGCCTTTTCAAGTGATTGGGACAACATATCAAAAGATGGCGATAACTTTTAGGAGGGGGGGGGGGGCTTATTTGGTGAGAGGTCAACCGAGACCCAACCCTAAAAGTGGCAATGCGCATTAAAACGCGCAATAAGGGTAATGCATTTTGGGCGCATTTCATGCGCATATAAGTGCAAGTGAAGTTGGAACATGCCGAGTTGCGGAGTTCGATTCCCGAGCAGAGGTGGGGCAGATCGCCCTTTTCCTCGCTTGTTTCGTTTTCAAAATCAATGTGTCTAAGGAAGAGTAAGGACTCGGCAGACAGGCCCCACCCAGGCTCGCACAAATTCAACCGATAGCGCCATGATTTAGTTCCCAATTAGTGCAATCCGAATATCTCATCCGCAGATTTTGTGCGACTACCCGTAGTACCCAAATCTCCTGTCAAAGAGCTCCATGAAGCTTGCCACGTCCCTATTTGTGGCCACAAAATTGTGGCCACAAACCCGGCGGCCAGAGTCAGCTTAATCCGACCCGCCTATAGAACACCCCATTTCGGGTAATACGAAATCCAAAGAATTCGGGATGTAAGCAGAAGGCAAGGACATGTTAGGCACATAGTCCCTAACAACCCGGAAGGCCCCGGATGCATATAAACCAACACAATGGGGCCCACATTAAGAACATCTTTTGTAAGGATTGCCTACCCTCCAGGCGCCCTCAGCCACAACTGGGCCCCACACCTCGCCCGAAAGTAAACCACACATTACAAACGAGCCAAGGCATACGAGGCCATCTCGAAAGGCTGCTCGGCGGGCGTGCCTACCTACCCAGCACCCTCAGCCACAACTGGGTCATCAGCCACAACTCGTCCAAAGGATCACCCACTCATTACTAGGCACCGGTCGCGGGCGTAGGGGCGAGTGCTGCTCGGCGGGCCCGCTTTCCTACCAGGCGATCTCATCAACACCTGGACCCTGGGGTAAAAAATAAAAAAAATAAAAAATACCCCCATAATCCAAGGGTCGAACCCATGACACGGACAGCCGAAACGAGCAGCGATCCAGCACGCAACTTCCTGAGCCAA